GGAGGGGGTGAAGGGAGGGCAGGGAATGGGGAAAAAATAAGAACCAAGATGCATCATGTACAGGTACAAGTTCCCAATGAGAAATGTAAATGTACTGCATACCTAAAATGTACCAATAAAAGAATTTAAGGGAAAAAAAACCAATAATTTCCTAACATTAGAAACAACTAGAAAATTATTGTTAATCTTGTTAGCTGTAATGATTGCGGTTAGGAAGAAAAGATGCCCTTATTGTTAGAAATATATATTGACAGTTTTACAGTGAAATGCCATGAAGTGAATGGAACTTAAAGTACTTTACTACCAAGAATAACAAAATAGACAAAGCAATAACCATTGTTAATCTAGTTATGCATATATTTTAGTTCTAGTCTACCATTCAAAATAGCAAATAAGAATGTATTAAAAACCTAGAAATCAGTAACAAATAATATCAAGACTATTAGGAGAGGGTATCACATTCTTGAGAAGGTACAATGTAGTACAATTTTAAAGTACCTGAAAATGAGTCACATGAGGGTAACCAAGGGACAGCAATCTAAATGATATCTGAGGTACAGGGACTCTTATTTAGAAATAAGATATTCACATTAAAGAAAATAAATTTCAAATACTACATGAGGCCAAAAACTGTGATTATTTATTTCCACTTAGGGAAAATAAATTTTCATTTACATATCTTCTTGAAATGAACCAAAATATTCACCAACATAAATAAATATAAATAAATTAATGTTACAAAGAATAAGATTTACAATTTGGCTATGAACATCTCACTTCAGAAATACAGAATCTTTCCTTATGTCAATATTTTACTATCTATCTCTGGATACTTTGGGGGGCTCTCACTGGTAGTTCAGGCTGGCAGGTCTCAAACTCATGGCCATCTTCCTGCCTCAGCCTCCCAAGTGGTGGGATTGCAGGCATGTGCCACTACATCTGGCTCCTGGGTACTTTTTTAAAGACATTAAATCAAAGATATCTTTCATAAGGCTCTTTTCCTGAGGAAACAAAGTAACACAAAACAAAACAGCCTGTCCTAAGTACAAAATTTCAGCTTATCAATCTTGTAAGTATTAGACTAAGTCCTGTTTTGTTATCTGTATTCTGCAACAAAGGGAGAAGCAACTCCTTTACTTCCTGTTCCTCCCTTGCCACCAACTAAGTCAAGAAACATACATTCCTGGATCATTAGTATGTTTTTCCTTTAAAACATTTTGCCAAAACCAAAGATTCATTTTAATGAAATATGTAAAAGTGCTTTATAGTTTAAGCATTATTTTAGAATCTGGTTCATCTCTTTTTGGCAATTTTGCTTAGAAAATATGAGATATTTTGTTTCTGCTATCCAATTAACGTTTTAAACTTTTTATTTCCTTTTACAAGTAAAAATAAGCTTACACATCTAGTGATAGAAATTCAGGCTCCCACTGTAAGCATAAACAAATGTCTCTACTTTCCTATACTTTTAGGAAAGTGATCTTCTCAATTCTGCAAGGCCTTCTACTTTCAAGAGGCTTTAGGTGCGTTGAGAATTTCCTTCCAGATGGACTCCTGCCCCCTTGTTTTGTTGACATTCCTAACATACCCTAAAAAAGATAAAGGGCAACATGCAAAGCAGAGGGCACTACTGGGTTTATTGTATCTGTGTTTCTCCAGGAACTTGTAACAAGCTAGAAATATTCCGAGTATTTGGGGACGATCTCTTCTTAACTCTTCTTTGGCTATGTCAGGTAGCCAGCGGTTACTAGCATCACAAGCAAAATCGTCAATTTTATACATGAGTGTCCTGCAAGTTAAAAAAAAAAGAATCAAAATGATTTTATTTACTGATGACAAACATTAAAATTTTAATTGCTATGTTATAAATTACTAAAAAGTTCATTAGTTGGGGCTGCAAAGCAAATACAAAGTTAGAAAGTTAAAAACTATGGGCAGTCTTCTGTGGGGATAGCTCAGTAACTGTAGCAACAATTACATCATTCATCATTTTAGATGAATGGTAGCCAAGTTAGACTCATGTAGGATAGAGTCAAGTTAAAAATCAATGAAAATCCTCTGAATATTATGTATGGAATAGATGAAAGATTTACCAAGAGATTAAGACACTTAGAAAGTTTCACAGATACGTTTACATTGTTATTTTCACGTAAAGACATAAAAAGGTATCTTTTAGGATCTAAAAGCATGACTTGTGAATGCAAAGATCTTAACACGTATTATACTCTTTCTTAAACACTGGACGGTCTAAAGCCCAGCCAGCAGAAGGAGAAACAGACACAAGAGAGGCCAATCATCTCATTCTGCAAAGTCACACTCACAGCCCCCAAGGTTTGTGCTGTTACACGGATTCATCGCCATGACGAATGGAGTGCAGACAACAGGAGATGATGGGCGTGCTCTTGCTAAGTCAAGATGAAGATGCACCGAGGTGGCAAGATTCAATGTTAGTCAACAGAGACACAGATCTGCCAGTGATTACTACCCACTATTACCCACTCAGAGTCTGCAGAAACCCTAACCCAGCTGTCTTGATAGCTATTTTGAAAGATACAGAGGTTTTTCTTAAACCATATACCTTTTGTAATTTATCGGAAAGAGGTCTTATTTCTGAGGTAGCATCAGCCTCATTTGAGGTATTAACAATGGGTGCTTTGTTGTTCTCTTGTGTCATATAATGGCTGGACAGTAAAGAGGAAAAAACTAATTGAATTATATAGAATCTAAATTTCAATCAAATAAGAAACTGAAGCATTTGCTTACACTCCCATCCCCACACTAAAATTTGTCATACAAACTCAATACTTCTAAATAACACAAAAGGATGAGGCTACATTATCATTTTCATATTCATTAACGTTATCCTCTCTTAAGTTCAAATTTTAATTAAGTAAGTATGCAACCAGTATAGGTATAAGGTCAGCTCTTATCCCTGACATCTTAGACTTCCAAAATAAGGCAACTGGATTATTCTTTAAGTGCACAAGAAAAAAGCAAATTCTATCTGAGGGTTTGGTAGGAATTTCCCTCTGCTTCAGAAACTAAGCAGTTAGGTTTATTGCATAATCTTAAAATATAATTCAAAACAAAATATACCTTCTTTGTCCCAGCACTTTTCATCCTATTAAAAATATCATGGCAAAATACTTCACCAAAGGATATGCAGAAAGTGACGAAAGCCAACAGATACTGGCAAATTCATCATGTGCTGCTTCCTCCTGACCCACGGAGATAAACTGGTAAATTGATAATGCTCTATAAATTAGTAACTTAAAATACAATAAACATGTAACACTAAAAATAGAGATCTGGGACAAGAAACTACAAAAGATGGGTGGTTAAATTTTTTTTCCAGAGTAGTTTTGCTGAGGCATCTATTCCAACTTTACTCACTTCCTAAGACTAAGAATTCAGTTAGCTTTTGCTAGGCTCAAACTACATTCCTTGAAAAGTCTAGAAGAGTTGCATTTCAGTGCATTTGCTGTTGCATCTAGAACATTTTATTGTTATTAAACAAATACCCAGAAAAATTATTAACTCTCCCCAACGCCCACCCCAGGACATAAAGGTCCAATTTGTTTAAATCAAGATTGAATCATTTAGGAATTTAAAGAATCTCTGTACAAGCTGGGGATTTAGCTCAGTGGCACCGCACCTGCCTCGCAAGCGTCAAGTCCTGAGTTCAATCCCTGGTACAAAAAAAAAAATCTCTATACACTTATAATAGGCTTAAATATTACTATTAATTTAAGGAGAATGGAAAGTGTTATTAGAGGGTAAAAAGGAGATAACCTGCACAAGCCAACAAAAATAGGCAATTTAGTAGTAATATTAAAATGAAGTTATTAATTAATGAAAAAAATGAACAGGCATTAGAGCAGCAAAGGGATAGCTCAGGCTCATGTGCATTCTACAACTAGATTTCTGAACAGCCAAATCTACAAAACCAGCCCCATTTAAATCATCCAGTTTGTTGGCAGCATACAGAGCCAACCGTATTTATATTTAATATGTGGACTCCATGGAGACCGATATTCCAGATGAGCTTTTATTTCTTGTTGCTGTCTTAACATCTGAGTATGTCCTGCGTGCTAAGCAACACTTTAACCGCTTAACGTGTGACAACTTATTTCATGCTTCCTGTAACCTCGTGAGGTTGACATATTTGTTCCATTTTACAAATGAAAACACTGAGGCTCAGAGTGGCTAAGCTGCTCGCAAACAGCAGAGCAGGAATCAAACCAAGCCACAGACTCTGGAGCTACCCTCTTACTCCCCAGACTGTTTCTGCCTAGACTGCTATCTATTAATAAATACAATGCAGAAAAATGCTTAACCATAGGCAGTGTAACAATAGGTTAGAGGTTTGTCTTTTCCTAGATTTCTTTGTTTCTGTATAATGCACAGGCATTATCATAAGTAGAGAAAAGAGAATTAAGAAAGTGGACTTTTAAATCACTTTCTTTTGGAAAGGTGGTTATTATCTTTGATTATACTGAGAAGAAAAAGGAGGAGGAAGAAACAGAAGAGGAAGAAGTGAGGTGAGAAGAAGAAAAGGAGGAGGAGGAAGTAGTAGTAGTGATGGAAGAAGAGGAAGAGGGAGGGAAAGGGGGAGGGGAGGAGGAGAAGAAACAGCACTGCCACTGCCAGAGTCCGTTCTTCCAAAGCAGTAATTTTGATTCCAGACAGAAGAGTCGGCAAGTGCAAAGATGCAGCTAAGCTGGAGACTTACCCACTGATAGAGTATCAAGTTTCACTGAGGAAAAGGCTAACAATAAAGTTTTCAAAATCATCAGAATTTCTGCTCACCCTGATTTTCCACGGTCCCAGAAAACCTTGGCTACAAATAGACTACCAATTATTACAGTACCAGCAACAAATCCTTGAGGGGGACAAAATTTGGCAGCACGGTTAATAGAAACATGAGCAATTACATTTATATTGTAGTTTCACAATGACATACGTGGTAATTATAAAGCATGTAAAGAAAAATCAGGAGACAGGAACGCATTCTGTTTACGGCTTCCTCATATCACAAGTTTGACAATAACACCTGTGTATTATTAGTCCTGTTTTCTTTGAAAGAAAAAAATAAAATGTTGAAAGCATCACTGGGCTTGCATATATATTTTTGACAGGCTTGAGTGGACTCTAAAATATTCATGCCCACAGTCATGCCCAATTTTAAATGTTAAATAGGATGGCTGAATTATGTAACAGTAGGGCTGGAAGGTATATCTGAGCTCATGCTTATTCTGAGGGGAATAATCTCAGGAAGATGAAGGTTAACACATGTGGCCAAGGGGGGCAAATGCTCAGTTCAGAGCGGAGACAGCCTTGGTTCTCCCAGGAAAGATGCTGCCCCTAAGACTGGAGGGAAATTATATTCACTTTGCCTATGCAGCATGCTCTTCAGCTCTGAGCCCACTGTGGATGCAACTTCATTTAGGGACGCTCTACCTACTTCTGGGAGCAAAAAGTGCTATTCTGAGCTTAACAGCAGCAAATAGATAAACTGGCCAACAGCAAACCACTTTTATAAGCTTGCTTTTTACAACCTTTCTTCCCAAACCACTCATTCGTACTTTCCTCTCAGCATCCTGACTCTGTTTCTCTCTTGCCTCACCCTCCAATGTCCCTGGACTCTACCCTTCGGTCTACGCATCAAGAAAATTACCGAGGACACTAAAAATGCAACTGAAGCTAATGGGACGAGTGAGTGTATTTGGTTCCAAATCAGCAAAATACAAATGCTGCACACCTGCACTACTATATGGATGTGAACTTTTTTAAAAAAACTAGCTATTTCCACAGCAGGCATACTTTACAGTATTCTCCCTAGTCAGTGTCCTTAACTGATCTCCTAGGGCTGTAGCTTTAGCTCAGAAAGACTATCTATAAAGTAAATTGCAACTCCCACTTTGAGTTTTCCTTTTTTTCAGTTCCTACTAAATTCACCATTTTAATTTCTCATTTGGAATTTAAATGAAAACAGAAAACTTGATGACAAAAATAAGTCTATTCCTAGATTCCGAGTTAGGGAAAACCTGAGAGGTTTGTTCTTGAGGACAGTTTGGTCCTTGCTCAGAATCATACTATTTACGGTCACAGGACAAAGGGCCTGTGGACAGATGAGGGCAGGTCAGACAGAGACCTGTGGACAGGAGATGAGTGTGCTCTAGCAGACCTTAAATTTTCAGATTTATAACGCAGAGCCAATCTTACTTTCCCACAGCCACAGCCATAGCCACAGCACGCTTCGAGGGTTCCGTCACGATCTCTGGACTCTGTCCCCCTCTTTTCAGGTTTTTGAAGGAAAGGGAATTCAAAAGACTAAGCCCATCTGAGAAAACTTGAGTGATTATATGACTTCTTAGCCCTGACTCACAGGTGGATAATGTGGCTGCGTTGCAGCGAGCTACAGACATGACACGGGTGGGACACGGGATAAGACAGTGCTGCACTTGCACTAGCCCCCTATTCACTTCAGAGAAATACTTCAGATACAAGGCTCTTGCAAGTACAGGTGTACTTAGGCTCTCTGTAATATACACCACATCCAAGGAGATATATAAAGGGTAAGTACATATATGATAAAGGATATAGAAGAAATAGCCTTGATCACTCAGGTCGAATATTTGCTAAATAAAAGCCTTCAAACCAAGGTCTGACTGACTGCAAAACACCTATTTTCCACTTCTTGTTATATGTGATATAATCTTTAAAAACAAAAAAACCCCAAACTACAACTATATAGAACATGTATTCTCAAGGGGGTGATGTTCCAAGAAGGTGAAAAAAACCTTCCTTTTTATATGCTATGTATCTATACGGAGAGACAGAGAGAGAGAAATCGATTTATAGTATATAGTTGGAATTAAAACTTTATGGGGAGGGGCCGGGGATTTAGCTCAGTGGTTCGGCTGCCTGCCTCGCAAGCGCAAGGTCCCGAGTTCGATCCCCGGTACCAAAAAAAAAAAAAAAAAAAAAAAAACCCCAAAATTTTATGGGGAGATGATTAGGAAAAAAATGTCCAGACAGGTCCTTAGCAGAGAGAAACCAAGAATAAAGAAATGGAGAAACACGGTACAGAGTGGAGTTGGTGAAGAGAGCCCTTTGAAGTGCGAAATACCAGTGTCATCTGCAAGGCATATGGGAAATTCTGTGACGCTGTCTCTCCCTCTCTCAGTGAAATTCAATGGGAAAACATCCAGAACTCGCCACAGTCTCGCATCATCTGCGGCATTCACTTGCACTGCAGGATAAGCAACACAGCCACTCCTGGCAATGCAATTTACTGTCTTTGCAGCGAGACAATGAACTGGTCCGCTGGTATATACTTCCGAAGTTTCAGAAAGAACAAGCATTCCAGACCTTCCTCGAATGGTACTGGGCAGCTGAGAAAAAGCTCATCTATTAAACCTGTCATTGTTGTGAACATCAAAGCATTAGATCATGGGATTTTTTTCATTTAAGAATACATTTATTTCTACTTAAAATATAGAATGAACAGAATGAATTCCAATTGTTGGAATCTTCCAAAGTTTTTAGCTTTAAAAATCTCTTAGCATTTAAAATAAAAATAACCATTTATAAATAACAAAAGCAGTAGTAACAATAATAACAAAATGTCTGCTCTCAAATTGAATGTCCTCTGGCTGGTTCATGCATGCATAAAATGGGGGACTTCACTGATAAATACATGATTTAAAAATAAGCACTTTATTATAAAATTGTATTTTCTATTGGATTTATCAGTGTGCCAACTTGGCTGTATTTCTCCTTAACAAACATTTCTCTTACCATCTTCTTTATTAGTCTTGTCAATGTATAACATAAAATAACATTTATGGACAAAATAAAAACCCAATTAATTACTAGAAGGAATTGCAACACAGGTAGCTGCTTTGGGCCTCAGGAGCGGAATATTAATTTTTAAGAAACTTTGCTTCAAATAACTACCAGAGAAACCGAAAAGGGGAGCAGGTAGTCGAAGGTGGCCCTCTCTCTCATGTGGGATAGGACAGAGACCTAGAAATGGTCACAAAGTTGTTTATGCTTATATAAAAAAACAACAACCCTGAAGATTTTGAAACACTGTTTCATCTTCTTGGTTCTTCAGTCCCTAGAAGGATGTCCTGAGACAATGGGCATTCAACAACACTCGACTGATGGGCCAAGTGATCTGAAGCTGTCCTAAAATTACCTTGGAACAAGAACACGGCTGGGCTGCTGAAGGAACATACCGAGTACCCAGTGGTGGCCACAAAGCACGCTGATAAAATGCGTTCACCTGTTTTCTCTTAGGTACCCATAAACAGCGCATTCTGATAGTTCTCCTGAGACAGTTAGACAGTATTCTCTTCCAGACATACAGACTATATATCCCACAATGATGGCAATTTCTTTTAACTGTCTGTGAGCCAAACTTACCATATATGAGACTTTTTGTACCTAAAAAAAAGAATAAAACAAAGTTAAAAAACATAAAAATTTTTCAATGATTTTCTAGTCACTATATATATATACATACACATATATATCAACAAACTGCTTGAAAGCTCAAAAGTAACTCAAATTTCCTTAACTAAAGGAAATTAAGGAATTTCCACAATTACACATTACTTAACACACAGTGCCTGCATCTGTTTGAAAGAGTCAACAACATACACATAAATGATGAAAACAAAAACATCATCTAGCTTTGATCTGTAACTTGATGGCAAGAAGTTTGAACAACTTAAGTAGTAAATAGTTGCTGATCCAATCCTACTGTCAAGAAATTATCTGAAACCCAAGTCCCCTTCAGTAGATTATAACCAAACTCAAAATCACTGTATCACCTTATTATTTACATTTCCCAAAGACTATGAACTAGGATTCAAGCACTGCTGTGAAAAAGGAGACCATTCACTCTTGCAGTGTCAAGGGTCAAGGCTATTGGCGATCATGGCACATTACATCCACACACAGGAAATCTGGACAGTGTCAACTGACCTGAAGACAACCCTTTCTCTTCAGATGCTGTTGTAGGAGGACGTGTACTTATCCTGGAAACAGGCGGACGGGACGTTGCTGTAATACGAGCAGAGGTGAGTCTTTGTGTACCTGAGACATGCTTAGTAGTGGACTTTTGTCTTGCTGGAAGAGTCTGTGTAAAGGAAGCTTTTGCTGTGGTGAGTATTGGGGTTGTTGGTGCGGTCTGTGTGGCAGAAGTGTTAGCCGTGGCGGAATTCTGGGCTGCCAGTGTGGTCACTGTAGACAGAACATGTGGCAGGGGGGATGTCTGAGCTGCTGCTGGGGTCTTTGTGGCTGAACTATTTGCCCTGGGAGGTTTCTGAGCAGTTAGTGGGGCTTTTGTATCTGAAATGTTTATTGTGATGGTTTTCTGAGGAATGAGTGAGACTTTTGCATCTGGAACACTGACTGTGGTGGGTTTCTGAGGAGTTGGTTGAACTTCTGCAGCTGCAATATTTACTGTAGTGTGTTTCTGAGGTGTTGGTTGGATTCCTGTAGTTGGAGCATTTACTGTAGTGTGTTTCTGAGGTGTTGGTCGGATTCTTGTAGTTGGAGCATTTACT